CCATAATGATTCTATGATTCTAAGATACAAAGGAGTTGGCCTCTTGCTGAAGTGATCCCCATGGAGTAACCGCCCAGCTGCTCCTAGCCAGGCACTGAGGGCTACAGATTCCTCTCCCACCCATCTACTCTGCAGAGATACTCTGCAGGCAGCCTGCTGACTTGGCTCCCAACCTGAATTCCTGAATTTAACACTCATTCCACAACATTTAAGAGCTCTGACTGAAAACCGTTACTTAAGCATGTAAATATCTGTTTCTGCTGCTAAAAGCAGTAATAGCATTAGTTTGGCTAAACAGCTGCATGACCATGAGACCTCTTCAACCATTGTAAAACCACAGTAAAGGTCACAGTTGGTGGCTGCTTCAGCAATATAAGAAAAAAAATCTTAGGTTTAAAGCAGGTAGACAATATATATATTTTTTTAATCTTGCGTTGGTTTTTTTTCTCCTTCATTTAAATGGTGCCTCTATTAAAATACAATGTATTTTAAATATTCAGTTTTACACTTCAAATTATGGTAAACGTAAACTTAAAACACAGTATTGGTAATAACTAGATTACTTTAAAAAGGCTATTAAATGTATATTCCCTATGTATGTGCTACCAAAGCTCTACAGGAAGTCTTTGGCTAAGCAACTGGGAGGAGAATTTTTTAAAGTGTTAAATAAGCCTTGAAAGCAGTAGCTTCTTTTGCAGGTATAGAAGGAACTTCTTCTTTGTTTCAATTTCTCCAGCAGGTTCACACCAATGAAAGAATGTTTAAGTCAACACTGACAGCCTGACTGGGAGCTGGGACACTGGGAGAGCTCCTTTTCTTCTCCAGTCCCTGAACATAAGCAAAAAGTAAGCTGCTGACATTCACCAGTCCACCAGTTTTGAAAACAAATCAGAAATAATCATTGCAGTTTCCTTGCTACACATAACAATTTGGTTTTAGATTCATTTGAAATATTAAATGTTTAAGCAATTTTTTTTTCTTGTACAGCAAGAATATTTGGACCATTTTACTTCTCTAGGAATGCTAACGCATAATGTTGTTTTCCACATTCTAATACAGTCTCCATTTCCAGCCAAGTAGAGATTAACAAAATCGCAATTAAAATGCCTTCTGACTTCTTAAATATACGCATTATTGCTTTAAAAAAAAAATTAAAAGCGTATGCTACAAACAGAAAAGTTAAAAACCCCAAATATATGTATGCAGATACATGTACATGTATAGCGTATGTCTTAAACAGTCAATCCCCAAATTGCTGTTAATTCTTAGATCTAACACTAGATCTGTCCTCTTGCTTCTCTCTATATTTCCTTCTTGTGTCAGTGCATCTGAGAGGAGAGAGATTTTGGTGGAGCAGCTTCCAAACCTGCTGTCTGCGGTGCCTTGCCTCCCCTCCAAGGCATTGCCGAGCCACAGAGCCCGACCAGCGTGGGCTGCAGCCCGCACACACGGCACAGCAGCAGCTGCCCTAGCAGGGAGCGGTGCAGTGCTGACGGCTCATGAGCACGACGTGATTCCAGGGTGGCTGCAAACCCAAGGCTGGCTGGTGACAGACTCAGCAACCTTTGTGCAGGGGAAGAGCAAGAAGGGAGGCATTCAGTGCATTCAAATACATTCGAGGGGGGGGTGGAATCTAACGTTTTGAACGCTTATACAACTCCCTTATAATACTGGGAGATTTGCCAGTTGCTGAAGATGCAAGCGCAAGCACAGACGTGAAATCTGTTTCACTCCCACATATTGCATTAACATCCATGCACAGAGAGCCAAGTAAATTTTGCTCTGGGATACTCACGTGTGACACCCTTTCCTTAGCCACATCTATAAGGCGTGGGCTCACTTGTAACTGCAAAAGGCCAAAAGAATTGAGAGCCAAATTCCACCCTCGCACATCTACAGTTAACCCCCCCTGAAAGCGGGGTGTGCTGCAGATGCATACCTGATGGCAGACTTTGGCTGCAGCTCCTTGTGATGGGCTGAGTACAGCTCACAATATTTAGTGCACGAGGTTTTAGGAAAAAGCTGTTAAAGTTGAATTGGATACTTTGAGTTGTTTTTCCCAGGATGGGAAATATGCTTAGTAGCTCCATATCCTTTTTGATTAGCCTAATCTTATATCCAAGATTCCTCTACAAAAGAGTTTGACCAAACTGTCGTGCCATCCAAAGCAGAGCAACATCAAACAACTCAGCAGGGTTTTTCCTGTATGGTATAGGCTGAGCATTAAAAATGTGCTACAGCTGGAAGGTATTCTTTACACGAAAAATGTTTAGGTTTTCACAGTGCCCTGGTTTCTCCAGCTGTAAAGATTAAATGGCTGGCTTTAATATGCCTGTCCAGAGTATAGCACAAATCCACGCTCCCTTTTGTAAGGGCTGTGCTCTGCTATACCGCATTCCCTGAGTAACACTGTGCTAAAATGCAAATCTAAGACAAAGCATGTAAGTTAGAGATGATATTTTTAGGAGACAAATTAGGGTATAACTGCAATACTCAGATAAACTTTAGAGCACATGAATCCTTCTTCAGGTTTGAAATACAAGCAGCAAACTTCGAAGTTAAATAGAACTGAAACCTATTAAGCTATTACGCTGAGTTTAATTATTCTTAGTTGAATTTAAATGAATTGGGCTAACTGGCAGAAAAATCAGTTGATGTCCATGGAAAGCATGGAGGAAATGGTGGTAGAAGAAAGGTGAGAAAGCTCTCATATAAGGTATAGCAGGAGATGTAAGTCATGGTCTGGGCAATGTAGAGAGGTTGCGGGGGGAGGAAACGGAGAGATTAGGATGTGCCAGAAAACCAAATCATTTGTTGAGATGATGATTTTTCAGGATCATCTACTACATTCAGTGCCAGGCTCATACTCAGTCACTGTAAATGTATATAATCAATGAAGAAATGTAACAAAAGTTACTCAAAAAAATAAATAAATCCATAAACAGAATACTTCATTGTTTTGAAAAAAGAAATGGACTGCATGAAAGACAAATGTCTATGATTATTATTGTTTATAATTACAATTAGCAGTGAACTACTAAACCAACAAAAGCTTGGGCGAACGCTGTTACTGTTGCCCTTGGTTACATGCTGCCCACGTGCTTATGCTGCTAGCAAATTTAGCCCAGAAGAATGGTCATGCAAAGCTCATTTAAACTAAAGCACAAAAATTAGAAAAATGTAACAATACAAATGGACTGCAAATTTCAGCCCAGTACTTGTGAGACTAAATTAAACTAATTCAACTTCTGCTTTAAGTGTACATTAAGAGTAAATACTTGCACAACGCATTGTCGATGATTATAATGTACAACTATTCTGTTCTTGCACAGCTGGCAAAGCTCAGACCCAATCTTGTGTTGTTTCAGAACACTTACTATAACAGTGCTCTTTTAACTACTTCTCTGCTACACAGATTAGTGTAACTTCATGAATTTTAGCTGTCTACACCACAGACTCCTTACCTTACAAATTAGATCTATAAAGGAACAGAGAAAAACACAGAATGAGAGAGTAGAGTCAAATCTGTCTCTCCAAACTGCTTACCAATTCTTCTGCAAAAGGTTTCCCCAAATCAGCAGTATTTCTGTATGAATACAAACAATTTAGATATTCTCTTCTTAAGGCTAAATTTCACCCACAGAAGCAGCAGGAACCAATCTTTCCCTGTCTCTTTTTCTGTCTCTGTCTCTCCACAAGCAAATAAGATTTTTTAAGAAAGTAAGACAAGGAACAGCAAAAGAAAACTAGACATAAGTCTTCTCACCTTTGCTTTTCGAAGGACATGGCCTCGACATGGAGAATTATTTGATGAGGGAGGTCGCTTCAGAGCTGCTGCGCTGTTCACAGGTATTGAGCATTCGGTATCACTGGTATCACAACTGGAGATTGGGGAGTTTTCCAAAGTTCGGTGCTTGAAAATTGGAGACTAATGAAGAGTGAAAAGCCTATATTGAATTTCCTCCACGTAGTCACATGGGCAATATTTCTAGACTTAGAACTGCAGATTTTTTTTTAAAGAAACCATATTCATAATAATGATGGAAAATGAAAAAGAGGTTAGAACAAAAGAAAACAAAATGAAGTGTGTGTTCTCTGATGAAAATCAAAGTTCATTTTCTGTGCTTAAACAACATTGGGTCATCTGGAGGAACTGACACATTCCTTTCTGATCCTTCTGATGGCTGCTTCTGACATATAAGCTTACAGCATAAGCCAGGACTACCACGCTCCATCCTGAACATTGTGAGATGCAGCCCTTGCAGAGGGTGACCATGACTGATAGGGGACCAGCATAAGTAGGTCTCCATCACTGCATGATGATTTGGTGCATTTAAAACTCCCTGGGATGGAGCAATGTCTTAAGTCATGCACTTTTAGAATCACTGAGGACAATGAGGTGTCAGCTTTTGCACATTATCCTAACACATACTGCCTGTGATTCCCATGTGTACCTGCTTCCCGTTGCTGTAGAAAGTACACCAGATGTAGGTGAAGAATGCAAATAACGTGGAAAGGCATTTAGTTCTGCTCTTATTCCCTGGGCTTAATAAACCTTTCCAAAACTCTCACTTCCCACTCATTTTACTAGAGCTGACAAGGCAGAGCACTCCCAGCCCATGGTACTGGGATGTGCATGTTTAATACAGCTTTGCATACCTGTGGGCTTGATGTTCCTGACTTGGGCTCAATAGCCAAGCCCAGTGTTATGCCACCAGCCAATGCTTTCTTAAGGCTCTCCTTCACCTCGGTCAGTTCTAGCTCTAGGTTTACACGCTCAGCCTCCTTCTGTTTACACTCCTCTTCCAACTTCTTTAACTTGTCTTCAAGAATCACTTGGGTCTTCCTGCCTGTCATCCACAGAAATATTATTTCAATACAAAGCTTAAATTGACACTTACAGAAATTATTTTCTTTTTAAGAAAAGTAAGGAACAAGGTCCCTAAAAATCAGTGACATCACAAAAAAAGTTACGTACTTTGCAAAAACCTTTTTTTTCCATGTAAAAATTGTAGCAACAGAAATCAAATGCTTTCTTTCAGGTGCCTTCCTTAGGTTTCTAGTCTAGTTTCAAATCAGTATTTGTTTTCTTATTTTTCCATGTCATGAAAATAAAATTAGTCAGTCACAATAAAATTATTCCCATCTTCTGCTTGTCTGAAGTCCCCACCAGTGTAATTTCATAGGTGTGAATATATATTTTAAAAAAGTATATAAAACAAGTATATACACCTATACATATTTTATATATATATATATTCTATATTTTATGTCTATATTGAAAGCAAATATAGACATTACAGAGTATTGTTTAACATCTAGTGGCATATCTTCAGCACAGAATACAAACCTATTTGGATAATTAAGCCTACCCAGGGCAGAATTCGGCACAAAAAAGCACCTCATACCAGCATTGACTTCAATGGCAGCACGTAGATCTTTTCTTTCTTTTCTGAGCTGGGCCAGCCTATTCCGGAGTGCTTCTTTCCTCTTTAGCAGCTCCTCCTCTTTGCTTTGTAACCTCTTTGCATCTGCCTCCACACGATTCTTGCCATATTTGTACTGCTCTGCATCTGTATGTATTGTATTGTAGTTATTTATGGTTAAAATTAACAGTAAAACTCTGAACTATTCCCTGAGACTGAATATCACACAAAGCATGTCATGGTTTGAGAAACCGGTTTGCCATTCCTCTTCCACTGGCTTTTTCTTAAAGTTCATGATTCCTGCTTTTTTTAATCACAGCAACCGAAATTATATGGGATAGACAGTTTGTTCTCCACATTTATACAAGGAAGATGAGAAATAGCAGTTACCTTATAGTACAGTGGTTTTGAAAAACGGCCTTGCCTTTCTATGTAGTTCAGAGGAAGGAAAGGAGGATTCTCTTTAGCTCTGAACCCTTGATTTTTAATTGGAAGGGGTCAGAGGAAAAACTACCTGTTTGCCCTTTTGCCTGGTTTCCATTCCTACTTCAAATGCTTAAAGCACATGTCTTTTCTCAACTGCCATAAGAGAATACAAAGATGTTCCCACTTTTTTTGATACTTGAGAGCTTTCTTTTTCTTTTTTAAATTTCCCATATAAATCCTTTAATTTCATGGCTCACATGATTCTGTGGTCTAATTTATATCACAGCCCCCTCTATACCTCTGCTCCAGCTGCAGACTCAAAGAAAATAGGTCAGCTAAGAGATCACTTTGTCTGTCTGCATATCTGAAGGCAAACTCAAGGACACTAAACCATTCCTGACAAATAGTTGTCAAACCAGTTTTAGGCGGTCTTTAGTAACCAAGATGCCTTTATTCCCACAACTATCTATTCCAGCACCAATTGACCTGCCTGGTTAGAAAGATACATTCTTTTTTCCTAAAGTCTAACCCAAATTTCTCTTGTTGCCATTACATCTATGAGTTCTTAAAAATTTATCATGGGATAAATTCATTCCTTCTCTAGAAGAAGCTGTGCTTTTGACTCCATACCTAAAAAATATGATTATAGCTCTTTTCTGACTTTTCTTTGCACAAAGCAATCCCTGTTAGGGATTTCCTAGAGGCAATCCACCTGCCCAGAAGAACCCTCTTTCTGAACGTGCGACTCACCAATTGAAATCTCCTCTCTCTGAGGAACCTTTTGAGCTGTGTGTTTGTCTTCATTATTTTGTTATACCTTTTTGTTTTTCATTAGTGATAAGAGTAACCCCACTTTTGAGCAACATAATGTTCTTGATATCAGAGTAACAAACGATTTGTATAGAAGACTGACTGTGTTCTACCTGATTGTATTGTCAAATTGATATATCTGGTATTAGTAACCATAGTTACTACACCAATGAGGTCTTGAATCTACCTTAGATAATTACAAGGCTTGGATCATACCTTGCTTTGGGTCTTGGTCAAGATGACTTTGATTAACAACAGAGGGTTCATGAAGGGAGTCAGGGTATGTTAAGTCCTAGAAGTTTATGAGAACATCCAGGACTGATTGTGTTAAGCCTCTGAGCACGGATTAGTTACGTGACAATCTGGCAAAGTGACCATTTGATTAACCAGCTTGGCAATTAAACTAGTTTTTAAGGTGTCCTGAAGTGATCTGCCTTCATTATAATACTAAAAATCATGCCCACAGATCAAGAAGACCTTCTCCTGAGCATGCGTAGTTATATGAATGAATAGGTAATTGTATGTAAATTGTATGTAAATTACTAACCAATCAGTAGTTAGTAGGTGTGTATGGAAATATACTGATCCTTCATTTCTGTGTATAAAACGAACACTGTAACTTGCTGGTGGTGTGCTTGATTTGTCGAACAGTTCACTGAGCACTCAGGCCTGAATAAATACAGTACCTCTTCTGGGCATGTGGAATGGGCTTCTTGCACGCCAGGCACGAATCTGCCCCAAATGAAGAATCATTACCCTTTTTTTTTCTCCTGCTGCCCTCATGACTTTGCAGTCATGGCTCCACATTTCATATTTATCATTCTCCATATGACAACCTTTTATCTTCTGGCATGGTTGGAGTACTAATGAGTCACCCATGCACACAATATCTCCTATTCAAAGTCTTGGTGGGCATCTCCTGCTCAGCCTCTCAGCCACAGAAGAACCACAGTGGTTCTTTATATCGTTTGCTAAGGAGACAGCTATTTTGGGTATCCTCATGACTTCACTCACAAGCGAGGCAGCAGTGAGGAGAGATACTTACTGGATGCAGTGCGCTTCACACATGACACTGATTCAGATTTCTTCGGCTGGTTATTTAAAGTTCTCCCTTTTCCGGTGATCCCATTAGCAGTTGCAGGAGGTTTCTTGCCCTTAAGCTGTTTGAAAACAAAAGTACAAATGGGTTCCAGTTATTCCTGTGCCATTGGCATTACAGTCACCCTTTCATCAAAGGCAAAGCTTGACAAAAAGCTGCCTGCTCAGAGAGCCTTAATAGAGTGCATTGATTGAGCTGGAGACGGTGCTTCCTCCAGAGATGTTGTCTCCGAGAGCTGCCTGCTCAGCGAGAGTCACACCAGCAATCACAGGGTAACAAGGGGATGAACTCCCCATCTCTGGTGGCATCACAGTTTCCAAGTTGTTTAAAACTCTGGCATTTACTGTATTAAGAAAGCCATTGCGAGGCAGAAAAGTTGTGCTTTTGAATAATTTCATACAGCAAAGACTCTTGAAACAGAGGTTTGTCAGAGTTAATTTCATACAGAAAAACCCAACAGCGTTTGCCACACAAAAATTCAACACTGTTTCTTATTTACTATATGACCTTGCCATGGTACATGGATTTATTTTTTTTTTTAAAAACAATATAATTATTACACATTTTTAAATGTAAGGAGTTAACATATCAGTTTCCTCTTATGCAACCTTTAACTACTAATTAAGTTTTTGTTACTTAAAAAACCCTCTCATAATGGCCAGACAAGATCACAAGATTACCAGAAACAGCACATTTCACGTCCAAGGGGTTTCCATTTAGAGGGCTCCCCTGCAATGAACTGAACCCTGGGAAGAGCAACGCTGTCTTGCCTAACCGTAGTGCTTCCATGGGGGATGCCTTAGCCGAGCACAGGGCATATGTGTGCCATGCTCTGTTTATCTGCTTCCAAAAGCTTTTGAGGACTGAACTGGGACTGCAATGAGAAGTCTGCTGCTGCAGTCAAGGATCAGGGCAATTTATTGCTTGGGTCCACCTCTGATTCTGCAACTTCACTGAATTCTAATATTCCAATATGAAGTTTTTGTAAGGGTTAAGTGAGTTAACACGCAGTATGACAGGGACCTTATACAAGGGAAACTCTTATCTAACTGTTCCACTCAGATTAGATTGAAAACCACTCATCTTTGTGATACATTCACAGGCTTATGCCAATGACCAGCTTTCAGAGACTGGCTATGGGCTGTGGAGAAGATTCCTGGTGTGGCTCTGCCCCACTGCTGGGGTTTATCTGTCTGCTACTGAGGCTGCTCTATAGCTTTGCATTTCACCTGCGGTCCAGAAGCCTGAGGCCATCCGCAGAAAGCACTGCAGATATAGGCTTAGTTTTTTTTGAGGGCAAGTAAATAACAGGCAGTAATTTGAATATGGTACATATATACTATATACAATATCATTAAGTGTATATATAATATAAGTTATGATAGATACATGCATTCACTATATATATAACCACAGTACATACAACATACAGATTAGGAAAAATCTAGAGAGGCAAATTTGCTGTCACAGCCAGGTCATATTTCACTTTTTTTTTCTTTTGTAGTCATCACTGCCTAAGGAGACAGAAGGCGGCTAGATATGCATTCAGGTTAAGATTGGAAGGTCACATCTAGATTTTTGTAACTATCCACAATCTGCAAATCATCAAGAACTTGTGGGGAGAGCCTTTCCCAGGTACCAATACTTCCATATCAGAATTTACAACTTAGCAAACTTGTTTCATTTGCAGTGGGCTCATGATTAAACTCCAAGTACTTCAGTGCTAACACTACCGGACTGAAATAGCCCAAGGCCCTTAAGATAACAACCAGATAAACAGAACAGCCAAAAAAAAAAAAAGCTTTGTTAACTATTAAATAGTACAGTACCTGCGAGCCAGATCCCCTCCCCACAGCAGAGGTATTAGTGACAGACTGAGCAGAAGACAGATTGGATGAGACAGGGTGTTTGTAATGGTTAGAGGAGAGTTTGTCAGTAGATAACCTATTGGGTTTTCTGTCAGCTGGCGGATAGCGTGCAAAGATTTTTGGAGACGGCAAGTTATCGTACAGGCCTGCGTTATCATAAAGCATTTCTTCTCCAATGTTCCTGCTACGAGAAGAAGGAAAGCCATCTTCTGGTTCCCACTGCAACACATACACTTTGGCAGTTAGTAAACAATACACCATGCAGAACCTCCTAAGTGAAATTAAAACATTAGTAATTCTTTTGACTGTAGCAAGCCCTCGGTGTTTAGCAAGCATATGCTTATTACTTACACTTGAGTCAAACTGTTTAGAAAGGGAAGGAGGACACAGTGGGGAAAGGAAGCATTACATTACATGGCTCATAGCCTCAGTCCTGTGCGTTTTCCATAGTATGAGTAAACCGGTACTATCCCATCACCCTTGCTGTTTCATAGAGTGAACCTTCAGTTGTCAGCTCTAGCGCTGAGGGGGCACAAGCAGACTGTGCTAACAGGCGGATATACTCACAGACTACACAGGTGAATCTGTGGGATTACAGCTGGTACATAAGTTGTTAAAAGTATTATGGCACAACAGTTAGCAGAAGCCAAGATGTTTTTTTTTCTTTTTTTTTTCTTTTTTTTTGTCTTTCTTCAGGCTATATATCTTTCCAGTGAATACCAGCTGCTGGTATGCTAGCATTATATTTTATTTGCTGGAGAATTATTATTCTGATCTAACCAGCTAAAATAGCTTCAGGCCATTCCTTTTTTGTTTTTTTTAAATTCTTTTCAGAAAAATGGAGAGCTCAACAACAATACTCCAGTGATTCATTCAATTAATCTTAAGAGAAACCAACCTGGTTGCCAAATATCCTTCCTTAATCCATCCTGGCTGTGGCAGTACACTACTCATACAAAGGCATGTGCACATCCAAGAACTACACATACAGACTACTCACCACACGTGGTCATGTGCTGTTCCCAAGAGGGCGTTTCTACTATCTTTCTGACATTACTAAGACATGATGGAGGACTGAACTTGCAGTCCACGTCACACTTTGAAACTCCTGAATTTCTCTTGAGTTTGGCCTTAGTAGGGGTCTTTATGAAGCAGCCCAAATTATGAGCTGACACGGGCTGTAGCTCCCCTGTAAATCTTCCTGCGGACCACATATTGCTATGGGTTAATAACCACTATGTGTTAAACCCTATTACACATCTGCCTACAATCAGCTCTGCAATTTATGAAGATGGAAGTGACCACTGTGGTTCTCCTTTGGGATGAGCAGTACCTGTTGTCATGAGGAATGCAGCCACACGGACTGAGAAATGTTTGGGTTTTGGTTCTTTTTCAACAGACACCAAAAGGTGCCTGGTGTAACCGAGTCCTTAATTTTGCCAGGTCTGGTGTGATCTAAAAAATACCCCCTCAAGTGAGTATTATATTCAAGGACTTGGCAAAAAATCATCAACAGGCAACTGCTTTCTAAATGCACGTTGGCTCATGTGCAGGTTAATGTAAACAATATGTCCCACATCCCTAATACTCAGTAGGTTTGAGAGAAGTTTGCAGCTCCCAATCAAAAAATAGGAGTTCATTTGGAAACTACCCAGTGGGGCTTTTTAGATAATATAATTTTCAGATGTCCATGCATTCAACACATGCAAACCATTTGTTCTGTGCAAATTCAATTCTTACCGATCCATTTATGCAGGGAACATCATCGTAATGAAGTGCCATTCCACTTGGACAGGCGTAGCCATTGGCAGTACTTCCCCGATATGGATTTGTAGATATAACTCGCCTGTTCATGAAACTGAAAAAAGCAAAATAAAAATAATAAAAGCCAGCACTTGAACCTAAGTCTAAATGATGATTCAGTGGTATGTTCCCTGTACCTGATTATGTTGCCTGGAAGCACACATCTTCTCACTTTCTGCAGAACAGTTTTCCTTCTTTTGCTACTCACACGTTGCTGCTAGCAACCAATATTACAACATATGTTTCTGTACTCCATTCTTACACTGGGGATACGACTGTATGAAAGCCAGGAGGGCAACAGCTGTAACTGCTCAGTGGCATGTTTACATGAGAACCTGCTGACCTATGTTATAAACCAGCTTGCCAGTGTCCCATAAAAGTTCCCTTGCTGTCTGCATGAGGGAGAAGCAGGTGTTTCTGGGTGCATGCATGCTCAGAGGGGATGTGAACTTAGGAACTGGGAGAAAGAAGAACCAAATCCAGCAAAAACTTGAAAAAAAGTGGAATGTCGATGAAATCTAAGTTAACCTATCTATCAAAATTTACTGAATAACTACTTCCTCAAAATTAGGGAATTTTTCTTTTCCATATCAGAACTTTTGGCTGGGTAGAGTGTGCACAATGGCACTATGCTTCCCAACTCTCTCTGGGTAATTGTGCATGCAAATACTCTATATGCTTATTCTTGCTCTGTTTCACGTGGTGGATCTGAGTCCTCTGGAAATTTCAAAAGGGGTAGACATATATATTTCACCTGCCTCCCCCCCTTCCCCAGCCAATCAACATTGTAGCTTGTTTTATTGGAATTGTGCAGAAGATGTGCAAGATATCATAGACTAGAATGGGCTTGCAAAGATCTAACAGTGCAGAAAATGGCAGAATCATGCCCAATAGCAACAATGATCCCAAGGGTGAGTTTTCCTTTGCAGCAACCACTGCAATTGAATGAGGTATAGAGTGAGATCCCAAATAATTCCTATAGCTTCAGGTGTACGTGAATGGGCAAACAAAGCTTTTCATCCCAAACAATGGAACTATTCAGACTCTGTGCTGACATTCATAAAATATGATAAAGCCCTACTAAAGCAGAGAGGGTCTTCTGTAGCACTGGCCAGAACTCAAGAATGCTGTGGTTTCAACAGTTGCTTTCTTTTGGTTTTGAAAAAACATGGAGTCCATTGAATGTCTCATTCAGAGGGAGACAGACCTCATCCAACTGTGGCTCACCTGAGCCATGGCAGACATGGGCTCACAGGAGGGATGAACCTGCCCAGTTCAGTGTGAACCCTTCAGGGCAGTGCCGGGATGAAATAATCATTAGACAGAAGCTTTCCTTACTTCAAACAAACAAACAACAAAAAGCCAAAGATAAATTCCATGATAAAAACATTTTTAACCTTATCATATCTCATACTGTATTAGACATTATTAAAGGGCTGCATTTGTTTACTGTTCCTCTTAACGAAAAGCATTACTCAAGTGTTTCTGGTTAGCCTGAAGGACTGCATTTGGAGTCGTTATTGTATTTCTTTCTATTTAAGTAGCTTCAATGAGACTGATGCATAATAACCATGTCTGAAAACTGGGATATTCATTAATGACATCTGACGCACCTATAACAACTAATTCCACCACCAAAGAAGCTAAGATTTACCTAAGTATCTGCAAACACTTCATAAGCATTATTGCAGCAAGCCTCATCAATCCTGTTTACAGATGCAGCCATGTAAGTTAATTGTGCTCTGAAACTGCTAGATGGGAAAAGAAATGGAGAAAACCTGCTTGGAAGCATTTTTTCTTCAGCCTTTCCTAGATACTTGATGATTTAGATGAAGAAAATCGATGGGACTATTAATGAAGAGCCAATTGTTTTGCAAAGCATCAGTCTCAGGAAACGAATAACGAATAATCCTGAAGTGACTGTGCTCTAATCAAAGATTTAATGATACCTGCAGTTAATTTGGAATACTGATATTCATTCTATAAAGGGCAACAATAGTATTTTATTAAGACTTAAGTATCATTGTAATTTCTCCTCATTTTCTAGGAGTAGTTGAAAATCAGCAGACAGCTATTCTAGTTGCTTATCAACAAGCTCTTACCATCTTTTAAAGACACCCAGTGAATTTTAAGTGATTCTTAATAGGGGAATTCTGCTATTTTGCAAGTTGTTTGACATTCCTTTCTAACATGTGGTCTAGTTGCACATGTTTTTTCACTTGGCTCCAATTAATATCGCATTTGCTCAGAAAAGGAAAGCCACACAGTATTCAGGAGGAAAAGGTTTCCAATCTATTTCTTTCTTAAATGTGGTTATTGCTAGATGCTGATTGAAGCAAAAACACATGTCAACACAGGATAAACTTTTTGAGCCCTATTAACTTCAAAACAAATATTAACATGTTTGTTAGCTAAGTGCATTTTGATTCTATCAAAATTATCTGGTTTTCACAAAACTGGGTTTGTGGTAACACTGAGTCACTTTGATTTCTATCAGAAGTCATTCAAACCAGATCCTGAATGAAGCTGTGCTATTTCCCTCGCTAAAGCTGTCTTAACACCACACTAATGGCAGGAGAATCTTCTTTTGGAAAACTCCGAATCTTTTGCCTTTTTTTTTTTTTTCATTTTCAGTCTTTTTAAAGTTATGATGGGCAGATGGGGTGTGATCTTCTAATGTATCAACTCACACAAATTCCAAATTTGTGTGGGAAGTCTCATTTTGCAGCGAGATGAGGGAAGACGCCTTTGCCAGCTGTCTTCCTCAGGCCACCCGCTTTCTGACTGCAAGAAACCACAGGGAACGTCTGCAGCCGGGCATCCTGCCTGTCCCAACTGTTCCTTCACCCCTGTTTCTAAACAACCTCATCTAGCCAAGGTAAAATTACAGTCTTTTCCCACCAAAGACTGCTTTAATACCTAAACTGATTTGAACATGTAAAACACTATATATGCTAAGTATGCATTACTTTTCTTAGTACAGGATCAGTAATGGGGAATTCACTGTACGGATTTGCAATTTAAACATAGTTTCTGTGCTGTGCCCTAGACACCTTCCCAATTTCCACCTCCTAAATGAAAACCCAGAAATTAATTGGAGTGGTGTGAGCTTTATGGAATTTTTAATTAATCATGAAGAACTTGAGAAGGAAACACTAAGAATGTGAATATCCAATACCTAAATCTGCTATGCATTTTAGTGGATATATTTATATATTTACTGTATATATATATATTAGTGTATATATTGGCCATATGTACAGCAAATACAGTCAACAGATAAATGTGAACTACGTAGCTACACATTTCAGCATATTTATCCTCTTCCAGGGACAGTTCTAAGTCTTCAGGCAAAATAAAAGATTAAAATATAGCATTTGATAAGGAAACTTACTGAAAAAATTATTAAAGATTTGAGTAAAGTTGGATAGTGTCTGCATCTTTTACAGAACTTAGCAGGATGCCAACATAATAATAAGCATATAATAATAATCATAAGCACATCTAACATGCTGCAATGCTGAAACACTTCAGGAGTTCAGTATCTGGCAAAGGGGGAGGTGGATTTTGATAAACTGTCTTGGCACTGGAGTTAACATAAGGATATAAATTTTCAAGAGTACTGGAAACACCCGGGTAGCTGAACGCCTCTCACCAGAAGGTCTGTTTTGCAGCCTGGATCACGCTTGCCGTCATTTCCACGTCGATGTAGTCATAGTGCAGAGCTCCGGGGTCTGTCGAAGACCCTGTTTCTGCCAGCAAAATTCCTATCCATCTGCCCATGTCTTCAGAGGAGGATGCCTGTGAGGAGAGGGCAAAAACATAGGTCAGGTCTTTAGTCTGTCACTGAGTTGAGTATTATTGCAAAACGGCGCATTCTTCTTGGCTGACAAATTGCTACCACATTGTATGAGAGGCACTGGTTTCTCTCTGCTGAACTCCTAAAAACCCCAGGATTTCTTATTAAATCTGCTTTGCTAGAAGGACTGCACTTTAAGTAAGCTATGTGCTCATCAGTTATGATGTAATACAAAGTGGGCAATCTCCATAAAAGAAGAAAAAAAATAATCGTTTAAGGCTAGTGGATTTAGATTCAAGTCATGCTTATTTTAGACTTCAGAAAATTGAAAGCTGTAACAGAATTATTTTCCTATGCTAGGCTGGGGGACTTTAGTTAGCATGACTCCTGAGAAGAAAATATTAGTGCTAAGTAGAAATGAGGCAGGGGAGGCAATGAAATAGTTGAAGAGATTCTAATGTTGATTTTTGAAAAATTCCACCAAATTTGTCTAGATGATGGCATTTATTTTCCTAATGTCACAAGTGAAAACATGAATACTATTAAAATAACTCTTAATTTTTCATATTTTGCTTCAAGTCACCAATCACAAAGTTAAACAGTAGCAAAAGAAATAATGGAAAAAAGAGGGGGAAAAGGAAACTGTGCGGTTTCTACATTTCTTATTCTTTTAAAATATTTCATTGCCTTTCACAGTTCCTTCAGCTGCTTTCTAGTCTTTCAGCTTATCTGAACTGCTCACATGTAACATGCCTGGTTGCAAGGGCAAGAGACTAATGTGACCTGCAGTCAGAAACCCAAAGTAGTCAGTGTCCATCCTGCCACTGAAAGTAAAAGATTGCCTCCTCCTAGATCTTCATTATATTGGGCTTTAAGTGTCTTCTCTTTTCAGCTTTCAAAATATGATGAATAAAGCCCCTCAGAAAATCCTGACCCACCTAACACAGATGAAGGTATGACCTTTATAGTGCGAGGAGCGTGTCAGTGTGTACACGTGCAGCGTGTCAAAAGACCCACCAGGTTGCTGGCACACTATATTTTCTTACTGCAGAATTACCTTAATACAGATATAGACTGAGCAAAAGGAATTCACATAAGTAGCAGACAAATGAGAGTTAAGAGCTGTAGAGTTCCCATCAACAGTGATCCATTATTAATTATTGCTAAGTTGTTTACCCAAAGTAATTATATCCCTGATGTAAAAGTGTGCCTAGAGAAGGAGCAGGGATATTTTAGTAGCAGGTCTAGGGAAGGTCAGTGGAGAGGAAAGCATCTTACTGTGAAGATTTCTGAACTGCATTAAATCTCAGTTCTCTCTTTGCCTCTCCTAGTATTTCTTTTCTCCTTCCTGTATTTATTATGCAGCTCTGCAATAATACTATTCCAAAGATTTTTTTTTTGAATGGCCAGGTTGTATGAAAGCGCTTCTCTAATTCAGCTTGTGGGTGTTCCTACAAGTCATAGCCATTAGCAACCACTGCACCTCCAGCACAGCGACCTCCTGCCCATTTCGGAGCAGGCGGAAGGTCAGGGGATGCTTCGAATCCAGTCCCAGGATGACTTCACAGCCACGGAGAGGGATAGAAACAATGTGCGTCTTCAGATCTGTCCTGTCCTTGTGGAAAATGAGTTTATTATCTTTCACTCTGCACCAGCGCTCACGCCAACGGTTATTTGAGAGCACATTGAGATATCCTGCAATAAAATGAAACATGAGATATTTTACTCCTGACTTTTTTTGAAAAGAAAAAAAACCCACTTACTTTTCAATGCAATGCTAGCACTTAAACAACTTATTCCTCTTATAATAGAAAGTCCAGATGGATTTTAGGAAGACAAGTAAATGACCCTGCACCACTTCTTTTAATGAAAACTTTCACTGTGCCAATAACCTAGGAAAAAGCATATAAAGCCTGCTCATGTGCAAATGGCCATTCTGTGTTAGTCACTGCAGCAGCTGGATGACCAGGAGCACACTGATCCCCCAGACTTTAGTAAGAATCGGAGAGGGACAGTGATAAAAAAGTACACACACAGCTGATGTGCTCACACAGAAGACTCACCTACTCCATGTGTAATGGCTTTGATAACTGTGGCTGATCAAAATTTTCTGGGAAAATCACAGTTCATATTATATAATTAAGTGATGAGCTACCTTCTGTAACATCCAAAAATCAGTGTTTTAAAGACCTACTAAGCATTGATGCTATATGTTCTAATTTCATTTAGAAAGAAGAATGCATGTTTGGTTTGCAACATTTTTAAAGCAGAATTTAAAGGATCGCTACCGATGCCAATAAAAATAAAATTCATATAGGTTTAAAATTCAAGAAGTAAATGTATATGAAACTTAGCTAAACTTTAAGACAAAAGTTTAAACAAAGATTAATTTTTTCCAGGTATAATACAGTACCCTTACAACAAATCAAGATTTCATTAACAAATTGCCTTTTAAAAAACCTCACTGTTCTTATCATGCTTTATATCAGATACAGTGTCCAGGCATATAATATAACTAAATGGGCAGTGGTTTGTGTTTTTCCTTCTCTGTCCCATAGCAACAATCGTTTCAAGACAATGCTCAATCTCCTTGCCTTATTTAGTCTGGGAATTAAAACAAAATGTAATTTTTTTACTTTTGCTTCCACATTACGAATGGTACATGAATTCAGCATGTTGCTGCTTCCAAACAGGCTATGAGGAGGGAAGCAAATGATAGCTTGCACAGGCCAGAATTTATGTAAAAAAACTGTCTTCTCTCTCAGGTCTGATTTTCATTTAATCCTGTTGCATAGCTATCTCTTTGGTTTTCATTAAAACTATGACATATCATAATTTTTTCTGGGTTTCCCTTCCAATATTACGGTTCCAATGTCAAAGCTTGATCTAACAGGACACAGCAGATCAGAATTGCACACATCTTGGAAGGTGCCATAAAAATAGGAGGATGTGCACAATGCTCTGATTTTGGCTCCTTGTGATGGTCACACTCTTCAGCTCTTTTCCCCCTTCCTGTAACAAAACTCTGTATAGCTGTGCATTATACTATAATCTCTAGAAATGGAAAACCCTTCAATGTGCAAGCCAGCTGGCTTGTTTTGGAGTGACAGTCCTTTTTTTCAGACAGTACTTGTTTTTCCCCTCTGCTCCCAATGCACCTCTCAGAAAAGCTCTTCCAAATCCTCCTACTTCAGTTGAACTGAGCAGGATCCCATGCTTTTCCTCCCACATAGCCCTACTTAAAACCTCAACAGTTGACACGACCAAAATGCCTTGAGTGTGTTCCCAGTTGGGGCATTAGCACTTCAGCTCAGCCCAGGCAGTCAAAGACCAGTGATGTTGTAGGGAAGAGCTCTGCCATGACTCCAAGTGCAGGTGGGTTTCAGTTTCCACTCTAGCTGGATGTCCCCTGCAGCCCCACTGGGCTTTTCCATTTGTTCATGGGAGGTAGAGCCTTCTAAAGTGTAAAAGCCTTCAACTATGGAGCAGCCTCCCAGAGGGCATTGAAGTGGGCCAAATTTCTGCTGGTGAGAAACTCCTTCTGCAAAGACTTCCTGCAATGACCAAAGCCTAGACACTTAACATATTTTCCTATAAAATCTGCAAGTGGTGTTGAGCAGAGCCAAATGCAGGCAATAGTAATGGCTATATTGATGTCTGTATCGGAAATAATGATAGAAATACTAGGAATTAGATTATACAGCTGTGGTTAACGTCTCACATAATACAGAATAATCAATGTAGTACGAGAGCCCGGAAGTTTGAGCTTTTATGGAAGCCAGATGCTTCAGACAATGCATCTGGCTGGACACAGCTTTTCCCAGCTGTTCTTTTGGTTGATAAATCACATCTGTACTTAGCTGACGTATAGACATATATACACACACTTATTTAATCAAAGATTGTTTATGTGAATGATTCCCAAAGTGTGGCTTGATAGCCACCTGTGATCTACGAAGTTCTTGCTGGTGGTCCACAGATCTGCTTCTTTCACATTGGGCAAGCACCTATCACACTTCATGCACTGATGAGTTCTGTTAACTGTTGCCTAATTACAGATTTCTGAGTTTCCCAAAGTTTTCCTAGCCAATTAAAGGGAAAAAGGCAAATCCAAATTTAGAAGCTGGTGCAACTGCTTCACAGCTTTCTATGGAAATTTTTTTTGGAAGGGATTTGGAGAAGGGTGGGTTCAACCTTATTCACTTATGGAAGTGTTACTTAATACCAGAGCATCAAAAGGCAAACAGGAGAATGTAAATACATTGCATTGTTTGAAATACCAGACTTGTGAGGGCACCAGCTAAGTGCATTGCACAAAGTCCTAAATTGTGAGCAAACATTAATAGCTAAGATAAAAAAAATAAGCATTTTCTGCATGCATTTTTATATACTTCATTGGTGCTGCCAAACACTACAGCTGTCATATGGAGTGATCAACATTACGAGTTAAAATAGGTTACTAGAAATTTGTTACTTCATTCAAGTTTTGCTCAATATGTACCACTTTAGGAACCCACCATTAAACTCAAATAACTTTGGCTGAGGCCACTTGACTGCTGTCTTGATTGCTATCCCATAAAACCTCACCACGATCCGTCATAAAAAACTTTATCCCTTCCCAAGAACCTTCTTCTAATTCCTAGCCTGAATTTATTTCATAGTCCAGCCTATATTCATTTTATATCAATTTGTTTGAAAACAGCTCTTGTTTGTTTCTGGGTTTTGTCCACACTTCTCCCTCACCTTTGCAAAAAGTAATGATACTCCTTCTGAGTCTGTGCTACCATTTTATTTAAAAAGTCAAGTTCTTTCAGTCTCTTTTCAAATGACAAGCTCTTGATAACTCTACTCCTCTTTCAGTCTGAGTGCATCCTTCTGATGCTGGGGGAAGAATTATAGCAGTAAAAGCAATGAATTTCTAGGCTAGAATTTTATAAAGTTTTAGTCACAATGTGCATTTAACTCTCAAGGAGAAAAATCACTTACCACATGTTGGAACATCTTCTTCAGCTGATGAGGTCTGTTCATCTGTTGATGGCTTTTTCTTTCCTAAACCAATGATCTTTGTTATTTTTTTCCCCGTTACTTTAGTCACAGTGCCCTTGGCTTCTGATTTTGAACTTTTTTTCCTCTTCACTATTAAGAAAGCAAAAGTGTAGATTTTAGTGTCTTTAAATTAACCAATGAATACAGAAAACCTGAAAAAAATAGTAGTTCAGATGAACAATCCCATGCAAGACGAACATTTGTACAAAAATTGCACACTGCAATGAGATAAACATTATATACCCTCTCCAATGCAGATGCCTATAAATAACCTCTGTGCTATAAAAATCATGACATTCAAGAAGGGTAAGAAAAACAAAAATCAAGCTTCTAAGTTCGTTTAATCTAATCAAGCTGCCACTCTCTTCCTACAGCAGTCATCATCTAATTTATCAGCATGACTGAGGTACCTGCATACAAATGTAGTTCATATACACAAGAATAAAAATCCAGCCAGACGATCCTTCATTGTTCCTAAACATTTATCTCAAAATACTTGAACAATTAAGAACACAACAAAGACAAAATATGCTTGCCTTGCAAAGATACTCCTGCCATGTACAATTAGGTTATGGTATCTTATCACAATGGACCTTTTAGAACGACAATAAATTATAAATTAACTACTAAATTAAATTAGTGGGATCAGTATAAGCATTCAGTGGTTATAAGTTGGCACTTTCTGTGATCATGAGGGCTTGGAAAGAAAAAGCTTTGCTGCAAAGAGGTATTTTGCTAACATCCAGTCTGTGCTTCTATTAACTAATACAATACCACTAGTATTATGGCTCTGTGCAGTGAGGCATGTTGAGCTATTGAACATAACATGGCAAGGCCTATGCATATAATTTTTAAAAGTGCCTATCTGAATAAAATTCTAACAAACTACAAAAAAAAAAGTTTCAAAGATTAAACAGAATCAGAAAAATAGACCTTTTATTTGCAAAACAGAAGCAGCAAAATAAATTCAGAAATTGCATTCAGTGGCCTAATTTGGATTCCTTCAACAGAGCAAAAGTCTCTCTGCTAACTGACACGGCAGCAAAAATATCCATCAACTCGCCGTGATACATGATTTTCATGAAAAATATGTTTAGGATAGTTACTTATCAAGTTGCTGTAATTGTATCCCTGACATAGCAATTCCCTTTGTAGCAGGCAATGTTTAGTGGCTATGGACTTGTGTAATCCAGGAAAAAAAGGACAAAATGTTTATATGAGAAATCATTATATGAATTGATGAACTGGGAAGAAGAATGCATGGAAAATAGAGAAGCAGTTTGGAACTCACAATGGGATAATTTATTATATTTAGTTTAATTGTTAGGAATCATGGAACATTATTTAGAAATCGTAATGTAGCCAGGACTGTACAAATCTGTCACCTGCTGCATTGCTGCATGCAGTGCTGAGAGGGGAAAGGCAGCTCTTCAGGCACGGACAGCTGTTCACCAGCAAACTCCAATACAGCGATGTGCATGTGCAAGCAAAGGTCTAATTCTCTCTTCCTAAGGGAAGGGTGTACACAACTCATACTGTGCTCTCTAAACATGCAACAAGGTCCCGTGTTTGAGGGAGGAAGGCCACCTGTCCCATCTGCTCATGTCATACCCTGTCTGAGGGACCTGAAGGCAGCACCTGCCCGCAGCCAGGTCACCATCTCACGCAGCAGCAATGACCGATGGTGGCTGTCGAGTGGGGAGGAGAAGAAATGCATTGAAAAAAGCCAGAGACTGAGAAAAACTCATCTCTCTGAGACAGAGGCCAAAAGGAATCAGTCTCATGAGCATGAACAGAGTGGAATACGCTCATTTCAGTGGTTTTTTTGTTTTTCTGTCCTGTCTTCCCTTCACATTGCTGTTTTATTCTCCTGCAGAACTGAAAGGCACCAGAAATAAGGCCTTCATGACTTAAGTCTTTTGAGTCTAAAGAACATACAGACTGCCAGCGATTTTTTTCACAAAAGCCTTTTCTTCTCATTTCCTTCCTCACAGCAAAAATGAGCAGCTAGTTAAGAGCAGAGTAGAGGCTGGCCTGCGGGTGATGGCTGGAGATGACCACTCTCTGGAGTCTCCCTTCCCACGTACTCCCTTAAGTGTTCCCTATCCATAGTTTAAAAAAATAGTGTTTAAAAAAATCCAGAACCCCTTAAAATGATACCAGGGGTATTTTAATCTCCTTGTATTCATTAATGCCTATTATTTTTATTACTACATAATTAAAGATCACAATTTTCAAAAGCAACCAGTATTTTTAACTACCCTCGAGACATCTAGGCTGGGCTGGTTTTCCAGCAGCGCACGCTCCATCAGCATGCCTCCCGCGGGGCACCTGAGCCACCAGGCACTTTTGGACACGAGGGACAACACAGCTTTTTGGGTCACAGATGTTTCTCAGCAGGTTTCAGAGACTAAAATGGTACCATGCTTTTTGAAAGCTTAGTAGAAGAGTTTATAGGGTGAAATCTAACTATGTGCCACAACTTCTAGAAACCACAAAACCTGACATTGTTCCATACCGTTGGATATGTCAGAGATCTGTATAGTCAGGAAATGCTGGAAAATGACCCAGGGAAACAAGTCAAAAGGCGAGACAGCGCTGGCACCAAGGCCAGTATTGACATTGTGCTCACTGCAGCTCACATTACCCTTCATCTTGACAGCTGCAGAAAAATGTCTCATCTAAACGATACCATTGCTATATGGCAAATTAAAGAAATCACAGAATTTCTTCCACCTTGAGGAGGAGGGAAGGGGATGGGGAAGAGACCACAGGGGTTGAGTGTTTTAGATATAACTCAGACAAAATTCCCTCTGGGTTTGGGATTTGCCTTTGTTAAATTATAAGGACTACAAAACATGCATGGCTCAAAAGTAGCATATGTAAAATTACATACATATATATACTTACAAACCACTGACATGACATGATTAATACATTTTTGTATGTTAATATAAATAATCATACACAATAGTTTATATATATGTATCTGTGTATACACACACGTAAACTGTGTATATGTGTGTATACATATATATGTATGTATACATACATACATAATATGCATGATTATTTTCTTCTAGTATTCAATGACAGGTTTTTTTGCGTAGAAGCTACAACCCACTATTTATGTTGCCACTATACAGTTACAGTTACTAAAAGCAATTGTTAGTTGCCTATAGTGGTTCCCCACGCTCTGAAAAACTGTACTTTTGAACACACAAAAGGCGAAGTTAAAAATTCTATATTCTGTTTCCTTATACTAATTATATTGATTTTACCTGCACAATAGCATCAAATGCCTTCTGTTACTGTAAAATTTTAAGGATTCACTCTTGACATAATTCAGCTTCCAAGTTAAATTGAATCCTAATAAAAACATTTAAAAACTTTACTGCCTATTTTTAAAGGACAAAAGCCAGGTATTTCACTACCTATCATTATCAGTATGCACATATTATTTACACCAAGCACCTCCAGATATGAGACATACCTTGTTCTTTCCCATTGCATGTGGTAGTGATGCCATTTTCCATAGCACCCTCCCCATCTGAGCTTGGCCTCTCAAATGATAACTTCTGCAGGGGCAAAGAGATTAGTTGACACACAACGTTGGCACTTTCGCCAAATTAAGAGTCATGAGTCAATTTAAAAGTATGCTTACTACAAAATAAAACACATTTCAAGCTCTCATCCACTTGGAAGACAAATAGAAGATAGCAAAAAAATTGGATTTAGAGGCTTTAGAAAAGCACAGAAATTACAAAATAGGTCTATATGTGCAAGTGTAGTCAAAACAGAAATAAACATAACTCAATACATCTTATTACACAACACATTTTTAATTAATTTCTAGACTCTAAATGTTGCTGTTTATTAATCTGCTAAGCAGTGGACAATTACATGGATCAGATAAGAATGATTTTAAAATTATTTCTTTAAATAATGCTTCATATATGCATTTACAATTACAACTTATCAGAAAATCACTGCATTCCTACATGGTGCTTCAATACTTTCAATATGTGCAAAAAAGAGGTTTTTGAAACAAATTTTTAGCACTGGTTATTCTGTAATGGTTGTTTATGACATGTGGGATGAAGTAGTATAGAGTTTATGCCCACACAGTTTTGGTAACCACATCACTCATGAGTAGTGAAGCCGTGAAGATGTACAGACTATCACAAAAAGAAACGAATGAGAAGTTTTGCTACACTGTTTTATGGCATTCATTTTAGAAAACAACTATTTTATGACACTTTTTCAGTTACTTTGTTAATACTGTGCAGGTGTGTGCAGGCACGCAAACACAAGAGCTTTTGCCTTGGGAAATCAGGAGGTTTGAGCTGCCACAGAGCATGCTTTGCTCTTAGTGTCCCAGACGCAAAGCAACATAACACTACTGACAGGGGTGTCCCTCCACCTTAGGGGCAGAACTTGCCATCAGGAATTTGGTGACGAAACCTTTGTCAGTGGGACTTTTGAGTGGGGCCTGCAGAGGGGTCTGCTTACATGGATGCCTTAACAGAGCAGGGGCTTAAATTGGTGCTGGTAATGTACTGATCATTCACTGCAGAGATTCTCTTTCCTAAGTCTTGCTCTCACATCCTGATGAGTCAAGGCAGCAGAGCAACCACATGTGAACAGCCAAGTTTCTGTATTGAGGCACAAATGCTTGAAAGGGTCTGCCAAAAAAGTGACCTCAGCATGCCCAGGGAGCACTTCAAGAACTAAATTCCCCAAAATAAAAGACTTTCCCTTAAAACTTTTGTATAATCTTCAGCCATTCCTCCCTGAGAGTCACGTCCCTGCTTGCTCTTTGCACTTGACAGAGAGCATCTCTGCATCACAGCACGTGTATCAGATGCGCTTAGTCTGCACCCTTCTAAACAGGTAAAGAGAAGCTGCTAATGGATATGAGCCAGTCTGCTGGTTGTTCGTGACCAAATGAATAGACATGGCAGAAGTCTTAGCTCTGCAGGAGATGTGCACATATCCAAACAAACAAAAACAACACAGGGACTAACAGTCTAAAACAGTAGCACAAGTCAGCAAGTATTTACATCCAGTGTCTATTGGGGCCTCTTTAATAAGTAATCATACGGAATTTTGCATTCATTATTTTGATAACTTTACCTTTTCTAGCTCCATCTTGTGTACTGGAGAACTGGACAATGGCCCATCGGAGTCTACAGCTCCTGTACAGTTGCTGCACACATCTTTTATAACCTTAGGAGACAAGGCAAAAGTTATTAATTATTCATAAAATATAAAGCAGAGAAGTTATACATGAATGTGAAGGGATATAGGAAGGAGAATCACACAGACATTTACTAGGCTGACAGGTGTCAGGCAGGCTGCTGCTACATCAACTTCTCCACACTGCCTCCCTAAGCCATCTCATGTATGACCTGGAGGAGACATAATGTCTAGAGCTGGAAGGTTTCAGTTTCTAGACAAGCTAAGCTCCAAGGCTCTCCTGAGTAAAGAAACCAACAGTGCTGCTGATTTCCACGTGCTAGTTTTGCAATATGAACTCAGTTGACACAATCAAATTAATTTCATTATGATGATGAAAAAGTGGGATTAAATCCAAGGTCCCGCAAGTCAAAGGACAAGAGTTTTGAATAATACACTAGCCAGCTGCTCTTTCTTTGCTATTGGAGAACTAATGAAGTGCTGATCAACTTACAGTTAATACTGCACAATGGTATTTCGCGGCATTTTTGTATTATACTTACACATTGACATAAAGGTATAGGTCAAAGTAATTGTAAATGTGTTTGTAGGAAATGGGAATGGCATTGCCTGCTTTTAAAAAGTTAAAGAAAAATCTAGAACCTGGAATTAACTGAGATTTTGATAAAACTTCAAGAACTTAAATCCCTGAAACTATAAGAAATGTAAAAGTATGTGATGAGTAAAGACATTTGATGATTCCCCATGGACCTAATTAAGCTTTTTATCTCTTGTGAGGTTACCACTAGCCCATTATCAGTCTGAAATTGCTTGTGCTGATAAGAACAGGTCCTGACTCTCCATCCAGCATTACACCGCTGATTACAGCCATGCAGCCACTCAAGGACGGCAGAGACAAATGAGCTAAGAAAGGTATCCTACTCTGCTGGAAGCATTACCGCCAGACATGCAAACCTTCCCCTTTACATGTACATGTTTACATATCCACCTCCTCCCTTTACACTGTTCACAGAAAGCCCAGTTGGCAGAGAGGAGGACCTGGCCTGAGAACTCCTAGTTCCAGGGAAAACAGCAATTATCCAACTGTGAAACCCCAAATTTCTTTCAAGGAGAGGAAAAGCAAAACAGCAAGCAATGTCTTTTTAGTTTCGAATTGATGTGGAAACTATTAAAGTGCTAAAGATGGCACCAAACAGTCCTTTCAGAGCACTGAAGTTCCCTTTAAGGGCGAAGCTATACAAATCAAATGTTTATGGGCTTACAAAGACCTTATTGCTACACCTCATGAGCACATCATAAATTACCAGCATTATATGCTGTAAAGAAAGAAAGAGCACCAGCTCCATTTTACAGATGAAGAATTCAGGAACAAAAGAAAAGATTAAATCAATCACTCAATGTCACATGAAAAAATGTAAGCAGAGCCGGGAAATGAACCCACACTTTTATTTCTGAGCTCCTATCTTAAAACACTTCAGCATCCTTTCTTGACTGTCTGAACTTCCCTATATCTTGTCCCAGAAACATAAGCACAGTATTTCATGGCACTTGGGGTTCTTTGTAACAGAAAATTTAGATATATCTGTTGCAGAGCATTTACACCTCAGAGTTAAACGTAGCCCTAAATTCACCAAAATCACAAGAGGTTTTTTTATGTGTCTTGTTTTATTTTCTATTGCTGGTCCTCAGTATGGTGTAAATACACCACTGTTTTCCTCCTAGAGAAATGTGACCATACAGTTTCTGGGAACATTCATTTCTGTCTCTTGCATGACCCTGATTCAATGGCTCATGTTTTCAGCATCTGCTCACACCACACAGTTAGTTAATTTTGGCAAAGGCAGATAGTAATGGGAGTTACAGACAGAACAGAGGGAAATGATTTGGCAGCACTAATTGAATAGTATGTGCAAAGTCATGCACTCAAGTAAATCCGGTTCTTATCATACCTCACATATTTAAGAAGAAGTTAAAGTGTTTAATTGGGTTGTAATTAAATTTTGATTAAAAAAATGACACACTATCAAATTGAAGTTTCTGGTAAGATCTTAAGTAAATGCATATTCAAGGATCCAACACTTCATTTGGGTTCAAGGGGTTCACTGGCAAAGACTTGCTCATCAACCTCTATGTGCAATATAATTGTGTTCAATGCACAGCATAAAACTCATACTTCTACAGCTCACCAGGATGAAAAGCCTTTAATATATAATGGTTGCCTGGATACACTCTCTATAATTATGTTTGCAGACAGCTGCCATTATAAATGTGGTTTTCACATGCTTATAGCTTTAACTCAAAATTTTAAGGATAAAACATTCCACCAGTGTTGCCAACTTGCATAATTTCAATCACAAGACTCAGAGTTCTTGTCAATTTTTTCTATGTTCCATCTCCTGGAGTCATATGAAAACAAAAGATGACTATTTTCATTAAAAAGTAGTTGTGAGTGAGTGTGGAAAGGAGGAAAGCAAACTTTTATCCATTGCAACAAGATGTGTGAAAATACGAATAAATGTATCTAAATGGCTCCAAAACTAGAAAGCAAATAAAAGGAAAAAATGTGTTGTTTTTAATAAAATGGCATAATCTGGAAGGCTGTATGGAGAATACGTTGTAATGGTGCATACTCCATTAATAGTTTAAGTTTTCCCACACATTAGAAAAGGGAAATCATTCTCTTTTTCTCACCACAAATGCCTTTGTACGTTACGTATATAGACACACAGGGTGATCTGTCATGAAAATCAAACTGAGATCATAAACAGACTATGTATTCAAATATTTAAAATATATGAGCAAACGTAATCAGAAAACTGAAGACCTTTCATTTCTTTGGATAGCCTCAAAACTAAATACATTTAAAATAATCTTCTGTTACTCCAGTGCAAGAATTTTAAATATCACAATTACCATTGCATTGTTACAATTAGCAGGCTTCAGAACTGCCTCTTTCAAATGCAGACCTGGAAAAAGCCTGTGCAGCCTGAATTATATTATTATTCCTTATTTATGTTACAGATAGGTCTTCAATCCCCAGCTGGATCAGGCTATATATCAGTGTATCTCATTCAGCGCAGTGACATGAGAAATAGAGGGGAAATATTTGCAGGTAGAAAGCTGGAAATATTCCCTGCCCCGAGCCATTGACAATGATGGGTGAAGTCAGTGGAACTTCTGCCACGTGGTGTGTCTGGAATATTTCTCTCTCTAAAACTATCTTACTACACAAGCAGTAACATTTACTATAAAACCTTCATACCTGCACTCACCTACAAATATCTACAATTCCTGTGTCTTATTTTAAATGACACACCAGGACTGGAGGCAAAATACTTGCCCTACATTTATTCTTTCTGCATGCAAAGTAGAAGAATCAAATTAGATTTTTCCAGCTACCTTCAGAGATCCAGGCTTCAGATAAAAAGCACAGCCTGTGCAGTAAAACCAGAAAGCCAGCTGCTTGCCAGCCTGAGCCTGCCACACAGAAACCCAACAAATTCCAAGTAAAAGTACTAAACTTGTAGATGGTTCCTTGTGGCTGATCTCTTTGGGACCTCATAAGGAATGAGACTGAAAGTCATCCTGCATTTGAGGAGCTTGCAGACCTCTCTCCTGATGGATACTATGGGATGAGTTCAGGCTACAGGCTGTGCTTACCACAGGGAAGCTAGAAATGGGATGGGCTGTATCCCCTGTCTCTGCTGCTTAACTCTGAAGATAAGAATATGGTAAAGCTGAAATCTGCTTATGCACAGCACAGCAGAGGGAAAAGGGTTTGGCTCCAGACCTAACTCAGTATTTCTCATTCCTGAAACACTCCTTTTTCAGTGCTGGAGGAAAACTGACTTTCTGGGACTCTCTGTCATTTTGGCATGACTAAATTCTCATTTTCTCTCTCTTTTGGACCCTTACACGCTATATACATTAGTGTCAATCTCCTCCTCCTTAAGAGAGCACCAAAACTCTCTTAGCAGAGAAGAAGTGCCCCAAGGAGTTTACCTAGATAAAATAGAGGAAAAGCAGAAATTATTCACATCGTAGCCTATGTTTTAATTCTCAAAAAGAAACCCACTTTACCTTCTGCACTGGAAAACATAATTCTCAAGCATTCCCTAGCCTTATTGCCATTTGTCTGAGCAAAGTGGAGGTGAGATTCTAGCAGACCAGTGAGCCTATCTTTAGTGCCTGTATATCCCCTTAAAAATACTTTTCTGACATACTCAATGAAGACAACCCCTGTACCATTTCTTCTGTATTATTACCATGAAGTCTATTGCCATATATGGCCGCTGGATCGGGCATAGCCCAGGAAAGGAGGCGCCGGGTGGGAGGGGCGGGAGGCTGGAGAAATTGCTGCTGCAAGGGCAGATGTACCCCATGCAAGGGGAGCTGCATCCCCAGCCCAGGCGGTGCGGTGATGCAGACTGTGCTTTAGGCCGTAAATCTGAGCTAGGTATGATTTAAATAATTTTCCATCCAAAGCTGCGAGTAGGAAACAGGAGGAATGCTATCTAGCGGTGAAAGCAGGGGACTAAGTCTCAGCCCTCCTGGGTTCTGCTCCAAGATCTGCTACAGCTTTTTATTTGTGATTTTAGCCAGGAACCTAAAGAAAACTTATCCTTGAGAAAACAAGCAAATAGGATGTTTGTGGTTCTGTATTCATTGGTGTTTTGTTTTGTTTTAAATTTACATTTTCCATGGTGCCAGTCACACACACACCCTCTGGTTCACAGCCAAGCTGGGGTCCTCTGGCTCTGTCAACGCATGCTGGCAGCAGTCCTGCAGGCTGGTCAAAGCTCCCACATGCAGCTTGGTCCGTCACGTCTCCAGGTTAGGCCCTAAATAACTCTTATGCAAACATACTGACCTTGCTGTGATTTGAACCGAGGTATCTAAAACCATCTCTTTGAGACAATAGGGATGTAAGTCCTGGGCGGTTTAATTTAGTTTGCAAAGCCTTCACTGCTGGTGATGATGTGCAGTAGAGAAAGAACCCAGCCCGACTGTCTTGGGATACAGTATATTCC